GGCGCCGGGCGCAGGACGGGCAGGGTGGAGGAGCCGGCGCCACTTCCGAGCGCCCCGCAGAGTCTCCGGGGTGAGTCCGCGATGGATGGACGGATGCACGCATGCATGCACAAAACGATACCGCGGAGGCAGAGAGACGGCCAAAGGCGACGGCAGCGAGGGAGCCCCCGCTCGGGAAAGGGGAGCGCTTTCAACATGGCGACACTGCCTTCTTTTCCGGGTTAGTCCACCCAGGCGACAGGCCTATTGGCCGGTGCCGCCCACATCCGGGGTGGGCCTCCCTTCTCCGTTGGCCGGCCGATGTGTCAATCACCCGCAGACGCGCCCAGAACTGTACTCTGCAATCTGCCGCCTGCTTCTCACCCCAGGCGATACAGCGTGAATATCGGTCCTTGCCAAGAATGCGTCCCCCCAGATATCTGCAGGCTTTGCTCCTGGCTTTCACGTAGGCCTGAGGAGAAATGCCACCTCCACATCGTCGCCTACTGTCCCCTCCCCGTCAGCAGATTTCCTTCTGATTCCGGGCTCATGGCTCCAACTGACCTGATTGATTTTTTTTTTTTTTGGACAAAAATATCTTACCCATTTCCAGCGCACACTCCTGTGGCGTGACATACACCCGCGGTGTTCATAACCTTTGCCATCATCCACCTGCAGGACTCTTACCTTTCCAAACTCTTCCCGTTAAAAAATAGTGTTTGGGTTTTTTGCTTTTCGTACACCCTGGAACCCGACTTATCTCTTTTCTGTCTGCCTGAATTTCATAATTCCGCGAACCTCACAGAAGCGGAATTGTGCAATACTTGCTTTTCTGTGTCTGGCTTACTTCACAGAGCATAGTATACTCAGGGTTCGCCGTATTATGGGCAAGGGTCACGGCCTCTTTCTTTTTCACGGCCGAGTAATATTCCAATGTGAAAATTACCCACACACAGACTCCTCATCACTTCTTCTAAGGCTGGACGCTGGGGGTTTTTTCCCCTCCTCTTGACGACTGTGTGTGACACCGCTCTGCTCCAAAGACAGGTGTTCAGGTCTGTTTTGTAGTTCGTGCATTCCCTGCCTTCCATTGTATATCTAGCAGAATTGCTCCATCCGAAGACTGTTTCTGTGTGTGTCCCTTTACCTAGTTTGTCCTCTCCGTGGAAACAGAGTCTCTGCCTCTTCTGCTCGTTCCACGTGCTTCTACTCTTGCGCGGTACAGAGCAGGTGCTCGGCAAATATGGGGTGAGACCTGCCATCCCAATATCCCCTGCTAGGCCACGCCCCCAATGACCTCGCTTCTTCCTAATAGCCCTCTCCTGGCCACACCCCAGTGACGTCACTTCCTCCCACTCTCCCCTCCCAGGCCACACCCCAGCGTCCTCACTTCCAATAGCCCTTGAGGCCACGCCCCCAATGACCTCGCTCCCCCACCGTACTCTTCCAGGCCACGCCCCCGATGAGTGCCGTCATCCCGCCAGGCCCCGCCCCTGAAAGGCTCCGCCACCTTCCAACGCGCCCGAGACCTCAGACAAGACCCAGACCGCGGGCGCAGTCTGCCGCTCAAGGCAGCGTCCGTGTGTGTCCGCGGCCCACGCTGGGGTTTCAAGCCCGGAGGGGGCATGATAATTCCAGCCGTGCCAGGCTCCGAATACGGGAGGAGGAGAAGGAGGAGGCCGGGCGAGGCCTCGCCGTTGCCTCTGTGCGTTGCAAATTTGAGGATGGCGCGGCTGCCCTAGAAACGATCTTTGCTGCCTCGAAGCCAACGAGACCATGGGCGAGCATTAACGCTTCTTGTGCGGAGTTTCTAGCTGCTGCTGTCTCCCGTTCGGAGTGGCCGCCTGCAGACTTCGCTGTCAACGCCAAGCGGGGTGTCCCCGGGCCCCCCCGGCACTCTGGGAGGCTGAGGCAGGAGGGCTGGTGAGACCTGCCATCCCAATATCCCCTGCTAGGCCACGCCCCCAATGACCTCGCTTCTTCCTAATAGCCCTCTCCTGGCCACACCCCAGTGACGTCACTTCCTCCCACTCTCCCCTCCCAGGCCACACCCCAGCGTCCTCACTTCCAATAGCCCTTGAGGCCACGCCCCCAATGACCTCGCTCCCCCACCGTACTCTTCCAGGCCACGCCCCCGATGAGTGCCGTCATCCCGCCAGGCCCCGCCCCTGAAAGGCTCCGCCACCTTCCAACGCGCCCGAGACCTCAGACAAGACCCAGACCGCGGGCGCAGTCTGCCGCTCAAGGCGGCGTCCGTGTGTGTCCGCGGCCCACGCTGGGGTTTCAAGCCCGGAGGGGGCATGATGATTCCAGCCGTGCCAGGCTCCGAATACGGGAGGAGGAGAAGGAGGAGGCCGGGCGAGGCCTCGCCGTTGCCTCTGTGCGTTGCAAATTTGAGGATGGCGCGGCTGCCCTAGAAACGATCTTTGCTGCCTCGAAGCCAACGAGACCATGGGCGAGCATTAACGCTTCTTGTGCGGAGTTTCTAGCTGCTGCTGTCTCCCGTTCGGAGTGGCCGCCTGCAGACTTCGCTGTCAACGCCAAGCGGGGTGTCCCCGGGCCCCCCCGGCACTCTGGGAGGCTGAGGCAGGAGGGCCGCGTGCTCCAGCCCGTCCTGGGCAGCTTAGCACCTTAGTGAGAACCTGGCTGAAAATAAAAATAAAAAGGGCAGAAAACCAAACCAAACTGAGGCAAGGACTGCGTTGCCTCGGCGCTGTGACCGGAGGCTGGGCGTTCAAGGGCCCCTTCGCCTTTGTTTATTTTGTTTTACTTTCTTAGTCCATGTTTGCGGTGCGTGTGTCCACTCTCCCTGTGGTGCTGCGGGGCGTGCACAGAACACAGCTGGACTCCTTTTTTCCTTCCTCCCCTTCCCCTCCCTGATATCCTGAGATCCATCTCCGTCTTTCCCAGCATCTGTCTGTTCTTTTGCTCTTCGTCTTCATTTCGGGTAGAAGCGGACACTGCATTCTTGGATTTGACTGTACCCGGTCCTCTTCCAAGTCTCTACAGATCTCTATTTTAAAAAAAAAAAAAATCTCCAGAGAAATGGGATACGCTTGCAGGGTTTTCCTTTTCTTTATTTACCTGTGTGTTCATTTCGTCAGCACAGACATCCTCAGTTCACCGCGGGGAATCGGTTCAGACGCGCACCGCATTCTCCCGCCTCTTCCTTCTGCTCCCCGCCCTGCTGTTTGGCCCGGATCCCCGGTCATAGCAGAAAGAGCCCGGTGTGGAGGAGCTGTTGAGAATCCCCAGGGCCCCTGGCATCGCTCAGCCTGAGGTGTCAGGAAGCGAGCTCTTCGTTTCTACCCCTGTACTGGGTGCCCTGGTCTCCCCGGAGCTTGTCCAGCCAGGAAAGGATTTTATCTTTGCAGGGCCCGGCAGCTCTTTGACAGTTTGCCTTTTGGTAAAGCGCCCTGTGGAGACACAAAACCCGTAGTTCACTCACAGGCCCGGGTTGGATTTCACCGGGGTGTATACTTATCACCGACCTGTGAAAAGTGAGTATCGCTGCCACCGCCTGCCTCGCGAACACAAGGTCCCGAGTTCAATTCCTGGTACCAAGGGAAAAAAAAAAAACAATGAGTAGAATCGCCGGGGCCAGAGATCTGAGGCGGGATCTTTGAGTATCGCTGCCACCGCCTGCCTCGCGAACACAAGGTCCCGAGTTCAATTCCTGGTACCAAGAAAAAAAAAAAAACAATGAGTAGAATCGCCGGGGCCAGAGATCTGAGGCGGGATCCGACCAATCATGGGAGAAATTTGACACTTTGTCTGTTGTACAGGGGGCTTTGCACTCAGTGATTCCGCCCCAGTGTAAGTGCTCTGCGCATATATAAGGGAAGGGCGCTCCGTAAGTCGGGATGTGCGGTGGCACAGGTATACTGAGTGCATTTTCTTCTTTCTTTTGTTTTTCCTTCCTTCCTTCCTTCCTTCCTTCCAGTTTTTGGGGACAGGATCTTGCTATGCAGTCCAGGCTGGCCTCAAACTCCCAGTGGCGATCCTCCTGCCTCAGCCTCTCAGGCGCTGAGATTACAGGGGTGCACCTCCACGCCTAGGCTCCTTATTTTCAGTGCAGTTTGGGTTTATTGGGACCCTTCCTAAATCAAACAGCACCTAAGCCCGGTGGTGTCCGCCTGTAACCCCAGCTCCCTGAGAGGCTCAGGCGGGGACACCCAGCCCGGGCTATGTATGCAGCAGCTCAGCTTGACCTTGTCTCAAAATAAGATGGAAATAAAAAGGGGCTGGGGACGGAGCTCAGAGCAGAGGCCCGGGGTTCGATGCCCGGTGTTGCAAGGGGAGGAACTTCGGGTAGCTCTGTAGTTTCTCGGATTTCCCAAGCCTTCGTGAGCCAGCAGGGCTGGGGCAGTGGCCCAAGTCTTCCCCACAAGCCCTGCAGAATGGGGGACCCTGAGGTCCACCCTGGACTACGGGGAACAGAGCCTGAACAGGGGGCCCCCGGGAAGAATATGCTCCCCCTCCCTCCCTCCCTCCCCAGCCGTGCCAGCCTGCGTGTGGAAGCATCAATCAGTGTGCGGGTGGGCGGGGCGCGCGTGCACCTGGAACGGAGCGTGCACGCGCGTGAGTGAATACTTGCACGCGGGTGTGAGTGTGCGCAGATGCACCCGTGCGCGTGGCAGGATTTCTCACATGTGCCCTACACTCGGGCGTGACACAGGGGATCAGGAGGGTGACAGGCGAGCTCACCGACAAGAAGTGAATCAAGTCATCTGTTCTGGGAGTCGCCGACCACGTAGGAATTAAGGACTCACCGACTGGACCTCATGTCCCCAGCTTTGTGAGCAGCCCTAAAGTCCGCCCCACGCAGAAGAGGGAGACACGCGGATAAGCGGAGAGGCACAGATGCCGCCGTGTGTCTGTCTCTCCCTGCCCCGTAGCCGTCCACCCTGACGGTCCCGCCTGAGAGCAGCCGACCGCGCACTGAACCCTCCGAGCTGTGACCCTCATCAGCCTCCCCCTTTAAGGGGTCCCCGAGCTGTGCATCCTGTCCACAGAATCCCGTGGGATGGGCGTCTTGGTCCCAGCGGCACACAGACGGCTGGCACGGGCCCCGGGGGGAGTGCTGTCGGTTTTCAGGGACCGGGACATTCTGTCGCTTCCTGGGTGCTTGAATCCCGGCCCCGGGAACCATTCCGTTCCTAAGTCTTCTGAGTACCCCGCGTTCCTCTGGCCTCTACGCCCCTGGCCACGCTCCGGGCCGGCTCCTGCTGCGGGAAAGTGAGCTACGCTGCCGGGCTCCGTTCACTGCCACCCGGCCCCTCACCTCTTCCTCCTGCCTCCCCGGCTCCTCCTGGGACTCCGAGATGCCGCTGGGCCTAGCATTGCTCCCCGCAGTGGGCTGGCCGCGTGGGAAACCAGAATCTGTTTTTATGTCAAGATGCTCGCCTCATGGCCCAGAATTGCCGAGTAGCACCTGAAGGTGAACGCGTGACCGTCCCCCCTCAGGTCAGGCCGTGAGCGTTTTTGCTTCTCAAAAAGCCGACCATTTAAGTGTACGCGTTGAGGATTTTAGGGTGCGTGTTCTTACTCAGATCCACTGCCGAGGACCCCTCGCGTGGGTGTTTCACACCGGCAAGGTCTTTGAGGAAGAGAGAGAGAGAGCCCTGGCCGGGGCAGGGTGCCCTTCTCCGCCCTCCGTGTACTCTGATCAGCCCGAGAACGCACGCCCGTCCCCGGACTCTCCCTGCGAGTTCCCCGAATCCTCCGTGCTCGGCTCGGAGCCCGACAGCCTGACGTTCTTTCCTTCTCTCTGCAGACCCCCGACGAAGGATCCTGGACTTCCGTCCACGCAGCGGTCAGCCCGGAACTGGAAGGCGTGGGTGGCCGCTACCTGTACAACGAGAAGGAGACCAAGTCCCTCGAGGTCTCTTACGACCAGAGGCTGCAGCGCCAGCTGTGGGCCCAGAGCTGCCAGATGACGGGAATCAGTGACGTGACGTCTGAGGCCGTTTCGGGACGACTGATAACCTGATTTTGCCAGCGCGACGGGTGGGGGAGTCCGAGAATCAGAATGCGTGTAATTCTGACTCACCCGCCCACCCCGCCAGCAGCCTTCGGGCCTCCGGTGTTGAGCGCACCGGCTCCGTCCTTGCAGGAACTCAGTATCCAGCGTACGGCTGGAAGTGTTGGTTCCCAAAGTCCAAACTGTCACACGAGTACCACAAAAATTAAATCTCTCCAAGTCAGTGTGCGGTGGTCCTTGCGTGGGTGAGGAGAGACAGGAGATCGAGGATGAGGTGAGGCCGGGCCTTTCAGGGAGGCGCCGGCCCGTCTGGGAACGGGTGGCTGTCCTAGGTCCTCGGGTCTCACGTTGCCGAGGCTCTGACTCGAGTTTCCAGAGTGACGTCTGTGCCGTCTGGGTCCCGGGCACGCAGCGAGAGTCCCCACCCATCGGCCCGCGCGATCAGCCGTGTGCGGGCCGTGTGGCCCTCTGGTTGGCCTCGTCGCTGGCCAGGTGTTAGTCTAGAAGGTGTCAGGAGGACGGGGCGGGAGGGGGTCACTGGGGGACCGCGTGGGGAGAGACCGGGACGGGGCCTGCACAGTCACCACGGGACGTCCAAGGACAGGGAATGGCCTTGTGCAGTGTGACCGTGGCATTCCGCACAGGACAAGCAGGCTGGACGGTGTCGCTGCCCAGGACCAAGGTGGGGATGAGGCCAAGGCGGGTGTGTCGTGGGGAAGTGAGGACAGGAGGCGTGCGGTGGCTGCCGGGGCCCACGCTCCACGCGGTGTCCGCAGGGAACCTGGCTCCTTTCCCTGCATTTCCGAGTTCTCCTCCCTGAGTTCCTCGCCCCCCGCCCCCCGCATGGTGTCCTCCTGGGGTACAGGTGCGGCCCGTTCTCCCCCAGGGCACCTCCACCCCTCTCTACTCCTGCAGCTCCGTGTGGCCTGGCAGCCCTGGGACTCGGGCAGAGACCCCGTTAAGAATGGAACGCTGAGCCCAGCGCGGCCCAGTCCCATCCATCCAAACCGCCGGTCTGGGTTTATTTGGGGAAGGTCTTGGAGCTACGGTCCCCCAGGCTTCCCAGCTGCGTGCCGGGTACCGGAGGCCCGGGGCCCAGCCGCTGACTCAGTGCTCCGTGGCCGGCATCTTTAAATTTCTTCAGTTCTAACACATTTCATTCTTCTCGGCCTCGTATTTTGGAGCCTTTCTAGCCATCCTCTCGTTGAGGCGAGTCCGGGAAACGGGCACGTCGGTTTTCAACTCTGGACGCATCTCCGGCCCGTTCCGCGGGGTCGCTGCACACACCCAGAACCGCTCAGGCAGTTATCGCCGAGCCCAGAGCCCAGACAAACGAGTTACCGCACGGGACCCCTTCCTACGTCCCACCGGGGTCGAGACGCCCTGGCATCTGGGTAACATTT